ACAGTTGAGCAAATGTCCTTGTGGTATGAATGTGCATCCTTTAGGTATATGCCCAAGAGCAGCATTGCTGGATCTTGAGGTAGGTTGATTACCAATTTTATGAGAAACAGTCATACTGACATCTAAAGCAGCTGTACAAGTTTGCATACCCACGGGCAATGGACGAGTGTTCCCCTTACTCCACATCCTCTCCAACATAAGCTGTCATCAGAGTTTTTGAACTTAGTCATTCTGATAGGTATAAGATGGTATCTCAGGGTTGTTTTGACTTAGCCTGATGACTAAGGCTATTGAGCAATTCCTTAAATGTTTTTTGGTCTATTGAGATTCTTCTGTTGAGAATTCTCTGTACGTCATTTTTAAATTGGATTATTTGGTATTTTGGTGTCTAGGTTCTTGAGTTCTTGTATATTTTAGAGATCAGCTCTCTGTTAGATATAGAGTTGGGAAAGATCTTTTCCCATTCTGTAGACTATCATTTTGTTTACTTGTCTTTGGTCATACAGAAGCTTCTCAGCTGCAGGAGGTCCCATTTATTTGTTGCTTTCAGTGTCTGTGGTACTTGGTGCTATATTTAGGAAGTGGTCTACTTTCCATTTTTTTTCTATAAGGTTCTATGTGGCTGGATTTATGTTGACATCTCTGATCAATTTGCACTTGAGTTTTGTGCATGGGGATAGATGTAAATCTATTTGCATTCCTCTACATGTCCACATCTAGTTATGTCAGCACCATTTGTTATAAATGCTTTCTTTTTTCCATTGTTTAATTTTAGCATCTTTGTCAAAAATCATGTATTCATAGGTGTATGGATTAAGGTCTTCAATTTGATTCTGTTGATTCGCCTGCCTGTTTTTCTGTCAATACCAAGCTGATTTCATCTAGAGCTCTATAGTAGAGCTTGAAGTCAAGGATGGTGATGCCTCCAGATGTTCCTTTATTGTACAAGAATGCTTTGGCTGGCCTGTTTTTTTAAACATATTGAGTATCATTCTTTCAAGTTCTGTGAAAAATTGTGTTGGAATTTTGATGGGGATTGCACTGAATCTGTAGATTGCTTTTGGTAAGATTGCTGTTTTTACTGTGTTTATCCTACCGATCCAAGAGCTTGAGAGATTGTTCCATTTTCTGATATCTTCTTCAATTTCTTTCTTCAGAGACTTAAAAGTTCTTGTCATACAGGTCTTTCACTTGTTTGGTTAGAGTTACTCCAAGTTATTTTATGTTGCTTTTGGTTATTGTGAAGGGTGATGTTTCTCTGACTTTTTTGTCATCTCATTTATCATCTGTATACAGGAAGGCCACTGATTTTTTTTTAGTTACTCTTGTATCCTGACCTAAGGTGTTTATCAGTTAGCTATAGGAGTTCCCTGGTAGAATTTTTGGGGTCACTTATGTATACTATCATATCATCTTCCTTTCCAATTTGTATCTCCTTGATCTCCTTTTGTTGTCTTATTGCTCTAGCTGGAACTTGGACTACTATATTGAATAGATATGGAGAGAGCCTTGTCTTGTTTCTGATTTTAGTGGAATTGATTTGAGTTTTCTCTCTGTTTAATTTGATGTTGAGTGTTGGCTTGCTGTATGTTGCCTTTATTATGTTTAGGTATGCTCCTTGTATCCATGATCTCTCCAAGACCCTTGTCATGAAGGGGTGTTGAATTTTGTTGAAGATTTTTTTTCAGCATCTAGTGAGATGATCATGTTTTTTCCTTTTTCTTTCAGTTTGTTTGTATGGTGGATTACATTGATGAACTTTTATATGTTGAACCAACCTTGCATTTCTGGGATGAAGCCTACTTGATCATGGTGGATGCTTTTTCTGATATGTTCTTAGATTCAATTTGCCAGTATTTTATTGAGTACTTTTACAACAATGTTCATGAGGGAGAGATTGGTCTGTAATTCTATTCTTAGTTGCATCTTTGTGTGGTTTGAGTATCAGTGTAACTGTAGCCTGGCAAAAAGAGTTGGGCAATGTTCCTTCTGTTTCTTTTGTGTAGAATGATTTGAGGAGTATTATTGGTATTAGATCTTCTTTGAAATTCTGGTGTAATTCTGCTCTGAAACCATCTGGCCCTGGGCTTTTTTTTTGGGGGGGGGAGTCTTTGATGACTACATCCATTTACTTAAGGGTTTTGGTCTATTTAAATTGTTTAGCTGGTCTTGATTTAATTTTGGAATGTAGTATTTTTCCAAAAATTGTCCATTTCCTTTAAATTTTCTAATTTTGTGGAGTACAGCGTTTTGAAATGTGACCTCATGATTCTCTGGATTTCCTCTGTGTCTGTTGTTATGTCTGCCTTTTCATTGCTGATTTTGTTAATTTTCCAAATTCTTGCTCTGCCTTTGGCTAGTTTGGATAAAGGCTTGTCTATATTGTTGATTTTCTCAAGGAACTAACTCTTTGTTTTATTGATTCTTTGTATTATTCACTTTGTTTTTATTTTATTGATTGATTTCAGCCTTAAATTTGATTATTTACTATCTTCTACTCCTCCTGGGTGAGTTTGTTTCTTTTTGTTCTAGAGCTTTCAGATGTGTTTTTAAGTTGCTAGTATGAAATTTCTCCATGTTCTTTATGTGGGCACTTAGTGCTATGAACTTTCCTTTTAGTGCTGCTTTCAGTATGCCCCATAAGTTTGGGTGTGTTGTTCATTCTTTTTCATTGAATTCTAGGAAGTCTTGATTTCTCCCTTTATTTCTTCCTTGACCCAGTGGTGATTCAGCTGAGCATTGTTCAATTTCCATGAGTTGTGAAGATTTCTGCAATTAGTGTTGTTATTGAATTCTAACCTTAAGCCATAGTGATCTGATAAGATACAGGGAGTTATTCCATTTCTTTTGTATCAGTTGATGTTTGCTTTGTTACCGAAAATATGGTTGATTTTTGAGAAGGTTCCTTAAGGTGCTGAGAAGAAGGTATATTCTTTTGTGTTTGGGTGCAATGTTCTATAGATGTCTGTTAAGTCCATTTGAGTCATAGCATCTGTTAATTCCTTTATTTGTCTGTTAAGTTTCTGTTTGGCAGTCCTGTCTAGTGGTGAGAGTGGGGTCTTAAGTTTGATGTGTGATGTAAACTTTAGCAATGTATCTTTTACAAATGTCGGTGCCCTTACATTTGGGGCATAGATATTCAGAATTGAGACTTCATCTTGATGGTCTTTTCCTGTGATGAATATGAAATGATATTTTTCATCTCTTTTGATTGATTTTAGTTTGAAATCTAATTTGTTAGATATTAGAATTGCTACATCAGCTTGTTTCTTGGGTCCATTTCATGGAAAATCTTTCCCCAACCCATTACACTGAGTGCTATCTGTCTTTGAAGTAGAGGTGTGTTTCCTGTATGCAGCACAAGGATGGATTCTATTTTCATATCCATTTTGTTAGTTTGTGTGCGTTGAGATCACTGATATTAAGAGATATTAATGGCCAGTGATTGTTAGTTCCTGTTATTTTTGGTTTTATTGTTGATGGTGGTATTGTGTGTGTTTCCCTTCTTTGGGTTTTGCTGGTGTGGGATTATCTATTGTCTTTGTTTTTATGGGTTCCTTGGGTTGGAATATTCCTTCTTGTACATTCTGTAGGGTTTTGTTATGTAATATCTTGTTTGTCTATGGTGATTAAAAGCCTTGCTGGGTATATTAGTCTGTGTTAGCATTTGTGGACTCTTAGGGTCTGCAAACAGTCTATTCAGGGCCTTCTGGCTTTCATTGTTTTCATTGAGAAGTTGGATGTAATTCTGATAGGTCTGCCTTTATATATTACTTGGCCTTTTTCCTTTGCAGCTCTCAATATTCTTTCTTTATTCTGTATGTTTATTGTTTTGATTATTTTGTGGCAAGGGGACTTTTTTGTTTTTTGGTCCAGTCTATTTTGTGTTCTGTAAGCTTCTTATACTTTCATAGGTATATGCTTCTTTAGGTTGGGATAGTTTCCTTCTATGATATATTTGAATATATTTTGTGTGTCTTTGAGCTGGACTTCTTTTCCTTCTTCTATACTATTATTCTTAGGTTTGGTCTTTTCATGGTGTCCCAGATTTCCAGAATATTTTGTGTTAAGAATTTGTTGGATTTAACTTTTGTGTTTCAGTAATGAATGTATTTCCTCTATGGTATCTTCAATGCCTGAGATTCTCTCTTCCATCTCTTGTATTCTATTAGTTATGCTTGCATTTGTAGTTCCTGATCATTTACCTAGATTTTCCATCTCCAGAATTTCCTCAGTTTGTGTTTTCTTTATATCCTCCATTTCAGTTTTCAAGTCTTGAACTCTTTTCTTCATCTGTTAGATTTTTTTTTTTGGCTTTCTTTAAGGGATTTATTGATTCCTTCCATTTTTTGTTTGTTTTTTCCTCTATTTCTTTAAGGTTATTTTTCCTTTCCTCTGTAAGGGCCTCTATCGTCATCATAAAGTTATTTTTAAGGTCATTTTATTCAGCTTCATTTGTGTTGGGATGTTCAGGTCTTGCTGTTGTAGTCACTAGTTTCCGGTGGTACAGAATTCCTCTTTGTGTTGTTGTATATATTCTTACACTGATGTCTACCCATCTCTTCCTCCAGTTGGCATAGGTGAAGCCTGTTCTTCAGGGGGTCCCTTTTCCTCCAATTGGTGCAAGTGGGGCTTGTGGCTTAGGTGGTCTTTCTTCCTTTAGGTGAAGTTGGGGTCATGGCTCTTGTGGTTGTTTATGCAGTAAGGGATGGTTGGGAGTGTGGGGAGGCTGCTGCCTGGTCTCTGAGGCTTCAGTGGGTGGGGGTGGAATTCGGGATGTGCCAGCTGAGGTCAGGGCCTAGAGAGTAGGGCCATCCAGCCAGGAGCCCAGACAGTTACCTCTTCAAGGTACAGGCAAAGCCAAGGCTCTGGTGGTCACTGATGCAGTGGGTGATGATTGGGGGTGTGGGGAGGGTGCTGCCAGGTCTTTGGGGCTTCAGTGGGTGGGGGTCGGGCTTGAAAAAGAGTTTTCTAATGAAATTAGCTGACTGATTTTTAATGTGTTGTCTGAATGGAGAGAAGGTTCATATTCCCCTTGAGGAGTATGGAAGGGTACTTGGGTCTAAAAGAATGCATATGGTTAAGGCAGTGTGACCTACTTTGTGGCATCTAGTCACTGTTTTTTTTTAGGCTGTGTGATAGTGCATGCCTTTAATCCAAACACTTAGGAGACAGAGGCAGGTAAGTTGAGTTTAAGGACAGTCTAGTTTATGGAAAGTTCAATACATGGTGAGACACCTGACTTTAAGGAAAAAATTACCTGTCCTTTTAAAGATTAAATAAGAGAGCCAGAAAGAATTTACTTCTAAAAGCACATAGGCCTTATAATGAGAGATATTTAAATTGGGCTCTGCAAAAGCTAAAATTAGCAAGAAGGAAAAACAAAAGGTCATACCAGATGGGAAGAACAGTAAGGGTTGTCATCATACCACCAGAATCTTGTAGATCAAGAGAAGACAATGTGAAATTGCAGGTTTCCAAGTCATTTCACCAAAGAAACCAAATTAAGGAGAAAAAGATAAGAGCCATCCCTACACCACTACCACATACACACAAACACACTCTGGCGCTATGCTGGCTGAGCTAATCCTCAGATTTTTTCACAATTTTAGAATGGTTAATAAAAATCCTTTTGAAAAATGATAAAGAAGGAAGCAAAGAGGAATATTCTTCTCCATTACACTCTCTAGTATATAAAGCAGAAGTCTTAAAGCAACTTTTCTTTTGTTCTTTTGAGTGTCGTGGTCACATGTAACACACATAGATGCTTCTAAATGCTTATAAGATGTTTTGTGTCTCAAGCATTTCTCTAGATTGATATTTTTGTTGAAAACTTCCTAGGACATAGTGAACTATATAAGAAATACATGGGTTTATGACTTTTTTCAGATTTGGAATGTTTTCTTTAGTTCTCTCCTTAATTACTACTTCAGTTCCTATGGGAATTGATACAATTTTGAGTCTGATTTGTGTTTTTTGATTCTGTTTGTTTGTATATTTTGAGACAGGGCATCTCTCTGTAACATTCCTGGCTACCCTGGAACTCACTTTATAGATCAGGCTGGACTTGAACTCACAGAGACTCACTGGCCTCTGCCTCCCAAGTGTTTAGATTAAAAGCCTGTTCTACTGTGCCAGGCTGCTCTTTGATTTTTATACTTTTGGTAATTATCATTTTACACACATTTCTATAGTGTGTATTAAATTCTAGAGGCCCACATGTAAAGACTTGGTCACCACTTTGGTGCCAATGCAAGGTGGTAGAAAGCTCTAAGAAGTGTGGCCTACTGGAAAGGTTAGGTAATTGTAGGTTGTGGTAGTTTCAATGTAATTGTCCCACAAGCTTACAGGGAATGGCACTATTAGAAGGTGTCATCTTGTTGGGGTAGGTGTAGCCTTGTTTGAGGAAGTATGTCACTGTGGGAATGGATTTTGAGGTCTCATATGTTCAAACTATGCTCATTGTGAACACAGACTCTTTCTATTGCCAGCAGATCAAGATGTAGAACTCTCAGTTCCTTTTTCAGCATGTCTGCTTACATCCCTCCATGAAGATAATGGACTAAACCTCTGAAACCGTGAACCACCCCTTTATCCTTCATTACAGTTGCCTTGTCCATGGTATCTCTCCACAGCAATAGAAACCCTAAGACAGAGGTGTTCTCTTGCAGTGGGTGGTGGAACGTTAGTCTTTTTCTCTTTTAATTTCTTGTTAGCTATATGGTAAAGAGACTTCATCTTCTGGGTGTTTCCAAATGAGACGTACTATGTTTCCAGGAAAAATGGAGTCAATTCATAATAGATGAAAACTCCCAAAACTGTGAGTCACAATAAGCCTATTTTCTTTACAAAGTGATTTATTAGAGTTATTTTTTTATAGTTGTGGGATACTGATCAACACATAAACACAAAGAAAAAAACCATAATTCTCATGGTCATGTATTTATATGCACATATAAGTATATAGTAAGTACAGATTTATGTAGAAACACACATACAAGCACAGAGTAGTTTACCTATTTTGTGTGTATGAACATGTGTGAGAAAAGAGAAGAAAAATGATATTATTTTACTAACTTCTCAGGAATTTCCTGAGAAATTTAGAAGACTGTCTTTCTTGCGTGGTAGCTAACTGCTGTTTTGCTCTGAAATTGCCATTCTTCTTGTAGATGGTTCTTCTACTTTAAATCTGCAGCACATAAAATCTATGCAAAAGAGTTTCAGAATTTGTTTAATGATATTTAGAATATTCTAGAGCAAGAGAAGAAACAGAGTGTGGCTTCATGGTCTGCTGAATTGAGCACTCATCTCACTTTGTTCCAAAGACCAAAATGCCCTCACATGGCTAAGTTCGGTCTTTTTCTGGAATTCACTAAGTCAATCTACCCTGGTAGCATTCTACTGTATTAAAAACCAAACCAAACCAAACCAAATGCAAATGTATCTAAAAGAACAATTTCCATAAATCCTTTTATAAACTCATTTGGCAAGGAAGTCTTTTGAAAGTCCAACTCAACCTGAACAGACTTTTTTAGAAGCCCATTTCCTGTGTTTTTCTCCAGGAAACACAAAGAACAGTGTTTTTGAAAAAGTTCCAAGCTCCTTGCTGGAGATCGGCTTCCTCAGTTAATTTTGAATCTCTTATACATCAGGTGTATCTGTACATCAAAATGTTGTGCTTAGACCCCTCAAATCCAGTCTCCATTAGCGTGGCCCTTCTTATATACAGCTCTTATGTAAAACCTGTTTAAACATAAGTGGTTATTGTTCTCTGTAATGGTTTTTTTTTTTCCGGTACTTGATGTACATTGTGTAGTGTGCCCCCCCCCCCCCCAGTGCATATAGTTGCATAGTGTCCTGAGGAAGAACAGGGGTCACAGGGACAGTGACCTGGACCAAGCCTCACTCTGTCCCTTATTTTCTAGGTGGCCTTGGGCAAAAGGTAACATTTGTGTGCTTCCAATTTCCTATCTGTAAGAAAATTAAAAAAAACTCTTTCACTGAAAGAGCTAATGTACATTAAGGTACATAAAAGAACACCTAAAATATTTTGCATTATGAGTACATTTGTTATTGCCATTTTAAATATAATCATCAGTATACAAACTCTGTTCTTTAAATTGATGTAATTCTACCTCAGCAAAGTATTCAGTTCTTGATAAATACCATCTGATGAGAAATCTAGAACTTACTTTAAATGTTGACCAGGATTTTGGAACTGAGTTTATTTCTAAGCATAGTTTATAGTTGTTACACTTGGTGTGTAACATGTTGCTCGTCATCAGGGAAGATGACTAAGGTCATGTGAGAATTTAACCCTTGCTACAGTGGGAATTTAATCTTTGCTAATTAATTACATTCCCTTGGGTATTTAAGCTTTTGTTTTTTCATTTGTTTTGTTTCATTTTGTTTTTCTAGTAAATTACTTCTGACTCTATTATTATCCCCTCCAGTGCCCATTGAGTCAGAGAAAATAACAAGTGGAGTTTACTGTTTTGATTTTGAACTAAACCATTTGCCTGTTTTCATTGTAATTCAAGGCACTGTTTAATCCATGGCTTAGAAGCTATTGGAGTGAAAATGTTCATGTTGCAGATTTACTTTTTGACAATGGTGCATGGAAAGATGATTTGGCAAGAACAAGAAACTCTGGTCCTCACTGGAAGAGACTGAAATAAGGAACACCCAGTCCCATGCTAACCAAGTGGGGATTCCTTTCCAAAGCTTTGTACTATGCAAAGGATACTTTTCTGGTATGCTGAGAAGTTGTCTCTGGGACCATCACACTTGGAATTCCAGCAGATTACCCTATCATCAAGTCATCAGTATGCTGCTATTTGAATAAACACAGCTGTTGTTTTCCAAGAAATATGGCTAGGAGCAGCAAGGAAAAAAAAGGGCAATTAGTGTTATTGAAATGGAGGGGTACTCAGGATGGCATATATATATATATTTATGAGAATTTTTGTTTCCGAATAGCTATTTGCCATGCTGTGACTGAGCGGTGGGGGGTGGGGGTGGGAGAGGGTGGTGATAATAAGCTATTCCCTAAATCCTTGCTACTTCATTGCATTCTGTGATTTAATATTAATTATGAATAATTTTCATAATTAAATGCATATTTTAACTCATGTGACCTTGCGCTATCTTCTCTAAAAGGAAACCTTAAAATTTTTATGACATCCAATTTTTAAAAAATGGTACTGATGATTTTCACTAGTTTCACTAGTTAGAATATCTGAAAAGCAACGATATCATGTCTCAGAATCAGGAAAGATGCTTTCCTTTTGGGGGGGTGGGGAGATGGACAGGCAAGCTTTCCTCTCTGTTTAATGAAAGGGAAAGCACATCAGAAAGGTCAGGTTATAGCCCTGTTGTGTGGCCAAAAGTAAGAGATTCTTTCCTCTGCATCTCACATACTACATCTGTGATGTGGATGTTGAACAATGTAGCCTTTAAAGACCTGGTAGGTTCCATGGTGCTGTTAATACAGATCTTTATGATTCAGCTGTGGTATTAAATGCTAATCAATATAGACATCCATGAGAACCTGTGGCTGTAGTCTTATATATAAATGTTTCTATAGTGTAGCTTTTGTACTTTGAGTATAAATGAAGACAAATATAAGGATGAATAATTAAGATTATTTTTGGTGCTTTAATTGCCTAAAACACTTTGTTTTGATTTTGCAGTCTTGAGGCTTTAGTGTAGGGTTCATAGTTAAGAACTGCGGTTTAAGAGTGTTTGCTTAGCAGGTGGAAGGGTGAAGGAATGATAGATTACAGAATAGCTTTCAAAGTTCTAGTATTTGTAGGGTAAGATTTCCAGGAACAAGATGAAGTTAGACAAAGCCTTTTATGTCTAGGGACATTGCTGTGGTTCAGTTTAAAATCATTTCACAGAAGTCTAGAAAACTCACTAGGTTCTCGCTTGCTTGGTGTCTTGAGTTGATCTCTAATTTAAAACTGTGTCCTTATACTTGGTCCAATGAACGTAAATGGTTTAAAGACATGATAGAAAAAAATAACTGAGGTCAAGGATATTAGAGATTCACTGCCCACATAGGCGTGTTCTACAGGGATGCAAAGGAAAGATCTTACCTGTGATAGTGTGAATGTAATTGGC